AATGTCAATATTCTGCCGCCGCCACTTTAATTTAATATATATATGTTATGCTAGTTACATGAAAGGACATATCTGCCCTTGGTGTTTACATMATAACTGCTAACACATAACAAACAATATAAAACTGAAAAATAAAATAAACAGCAACTAGGAATRACAGAGTAACAAATTGACCACAGCTGTGACTAGATACATTCTACCCTACGGACAGAGTGGGACCACAGCTGTGGGGCCCACATCAATGTTCTCTACATATTCTTCTTCTTCTTCTTCTACTACTACTACTACTACTACTACTACCAATGCTTTTTATTTTCTTCTTTTCCTATAACAAAAATAAGGGTTCAGCCCCTATATTTTTTGAATTTTATTTTCCTTCTTCCTTTTCTTCTCATGAATATGTTGATTTTCTATACTTTAATATGAAATTTATACCTTTCTTATGAAAATCATGAATAATTATTAAAGAAATATGGTTATGGTACCTAAGGAACTACCCTAGGATCTATGTTTTTTGCATAAAAAATCCATCGCCTAGGCGACAAGGTGCCCCCCCAGTCGCCTCGCCTCGCCTTGGTGCCTTGAAAATTATGGTGGCCGATACAACGCGATATGCCTAATACGGGTTGACCGTGTTGACATTTTGAACCTTGGTCTCATGACATCCCTTGGGATCTCATTTGTCCAAGTTTGATCCCTAACTATGACCCAAGTTAGTCAATAAGTCTGTCGTGATTTTCTTTCCTGAGCATGTGAAATTACTATCAGTTGGATATTGTGTTTACGTGCCAGTAACAAGATAGTTTGAATCGGCATATATTCCATGGTGATTAGGATTTCTGATTAATATAGTCATTTATGAACTTGCAATCTCTCTCAATCCAGACTAGTTAATGACCATCCCGTACTGAWATAGGGCAACTATACCTATGTATTTTGTTTGGGACCCACCATTTACATGGTAAATTTAGGGTCTATCTATAATTAACAAACCACTTAATCTGAAAGAATGACAGCCACACTAATATAATGTATCGAAAGCATTTGTATTAGGTTTTCTATTTGAGTTAGGAAACTAAATTAGATTTGATTTGTTACTGGTAGATACGGGGTAACCTAATCTGAGTTAAAATTTATTACCCCTTTTCTACGGTGGAGTCCTATCACGTCTTTGAGGATCTCCTCTTTTCTGAGGGCTTTGTGTAATGTGTATTTATAGGTTTGGTGTTGACCAAGATTAAATCCCACCTGGAAATTCTCCCTTGCTTCCCACACCTCTGCCATATTGACCTTCATGTCACCAATTCGTTTCATTTTGCTTCTAATATTTTCTTGTCCATTCTCTAGCATTGCAGCATCAATGTAGTTGTTGACAGACACACAAAAGTTGACTTTCATCACAATTTCCTTCAGTTTGCTCCTTCTTATGTAGATTATTCTGTTGTTTCTCCTGGGTTCTGGAGTTAACCTGCAGGCATCAGTGAACTCACTACAATGTTGCCTGGCTTGGTCCAGGATCTTTTTTTTTTTGATAATTGGTTTGGTCCAGGATCTTAGCTATGCTTGGCCTGAAATTCCACATGGTCTGTAGGAGGAAAGTAGTAATTTCTAATACAGCAGAGCACTGCTACTTCTTCAGTTCTCATTCTCAAACTTGCATTACAGATCTGAAATATCTCTAATTTTATGTCTAGATATTTCAACCATAATACTTCATTAAATTCATTTCAGATCTGAAACCATTCCTTTCCTTGCATCCTTAACCCATTATTAATCAATCCATGGGATAACCCCTGTCCTCCATCCTACTTCAGTTAGAGAAGTGGTGGTGCCTGCATAAGGAACACATCTACTTTTTGAGCTTAGGAGGACCTTGTTTGGTTTTCTTAGTTTTTCCTCGATTTGGAGGTTTCATTGTTTTTTTTTTTCTAAAATTTAAATTGGTTCTCATTTAAAATTTTTTGATTATTTTGATTGCCATCTGGATTCTAGAGAGCTCCTTGTTTGATGGATTTTTTATATTCATCTGTGATAACCAATAAAAATAAATAAGTGCAAGTTTTTTTGACAAGTAAAATAGAATTTTATTAATAAACAGATATGAGCATTAGCTGCATTACAAGCATCCCTTGGAGAGGCACAAGATGCTACATCTCCCGTGAAAAAACAGAAAATACAAATTACACCTCAGCCCAAAACAGTTGGCCCCTATTCACCCCTTGTTGTGTCTGCTGTCACATTAGCTGATCTGTGCACTCATTGTATCCGTCCACACCCATGGTGCCCATTTGGCTTGTTTCTGCCATTTGCATGTATTACAAATCCATTGCCAACATTCATTTATAGTTTATTAATTTAAACTTCTGGCTACAAGACAATATTATGTTTTTAGTCATATTTCAGGATCCTTTAGACACCTGTTTTTAGTCACATTTACTGACAGCATGCTCTTTTTTCCCCTTTCCAGAGATTCGCTCCTGCTGCTGCGGAACTTAATGGAGTACTCTATGTTGTTGGTGGATATGATGGAAAAGATTACTTGACGTAATATTTCATACTTCTTTTCTTTATTTTTCACTTTTATTCTAATTTTTGTCACCTTAAGCCAGCAAACAACCTTGTTACAAAAACATTTCATTGAAGAACTTACAATATGATTACTTGCGAATGTACCTAGTTAATATTTTGGTCCTATTTATTACTTGCTCTGTTCGATTATTCTTCTCAAGAAACATGAAATTTGGAGTGGGTAATATATGCGAAAATCAATTATTAAAGTCTGCTGTGAGACATAATTGTGTGGGCTTGGGCCTTTTCTAAGTTTCTGTAATGTATCTCTTTTTTTGTTTAAGTTTTATGGCCCTGGGCCTGTCTTGTACTTTTTTATTTTATTGCTGCCACCTAATCAGGGGCAGTTTTATCTTTGTTGTAATCTTTTAAAACCTCTCATTTATATATAATTTAGGACTGGACTGAATAGAAGCTGCTGTCCCCATTCTGCAAGTTCTTCTCCTCTTTTCTCTTAAAACCTGAATGTAAACATGGTATCAGAGCACTGATATGTCTCTTTCTGGTTGGTCATCATCTCTCTTGCTGTTCTTTCTTTTTTCTAGTGTTTCTATAAAAAACCCTAGGTTTGCTAGTGTTGTATTGAAGTTTCCTTAGCTTTTTTTCTTTGGAAAACGGTCCAAGGAGAACCAGGATGGGTTCTGTTATTGCTCAACATGGGTAAGATAAGGTTTGAGTAGTCTTTGGACTACTAGATTAACCTGTTAATGATAGGTCAAGCTTTGAACTGTTAGCAATAATAGTTCTGGAGATTTTTTCAGTTCATACGAGTGGGAGATTCAGGTTGCATTGCAGGTGGTTGTTAAAGAGAATTGCTCAGTTTTGAAGAGTAGAGATGTCCTCCAATACAAGTGAAGGTGACTTCTAATGAGAACATGTCGGTTGAGGGTTACTACAACATGGAGAACCCTAGTTTCTCTAGCCTTCAGATTAAACATGTGAAGTTGGATGAATACAACTTCAAGGAATGGTCTATCTTAGCAGAACTACATATATTTCAAGCCATGGGATGCTGGGATGTATCAATGGACAGGTCAAAGAACCTAGGTTGGAACTTGGAAGAGCCTACATATGGGAAGTGGTATTGGGAAAATTCTCTTGTCATGTCATGGCTGCTATCCTCCACGACAGATAAGATTGCTAGGACAGTTCAGCACTATCCCACAACATGAAAGATTTRGGAAAAATTGTCTAATATATATGGACAGAGAAAGAAAAATACAAGAGTCTACTGGTTAATCCAAGATATTGCAGCCTTGAGCCAAGAAAATATGTCTGTTGTGACATAGACAGTTCGAACTGCACAGAGAAGTTGAAAGGGTGTGTCTAATGTGCATACGCTCAAAAAGATGTATTATACATTATTTGGGTACAAGAGAAGGGAAAGAACAAAACTGCCCTCCACTAAAACAAATAAGAAAGAGTTATTCAAAAGAGAAATAAAAGATATTGTACATAAGGTACATGATAATATGACATTCCTAACAAAGTTAGCCCATAGTATCTCGACACCCCCTCAAACTAATGCCGAGATAAAAGCATCAATTTGTCAGCAAGAAACTTGTAGCGAGGGCTTGTCATAGCCTTCGTGAAGATGTCAGCAAGTTGAAGACTAGAAGAAACACGAGGAAGAGTGATAGTTCCAGCAAAGTATTGATCTCTAATGAAGCGATAATCAACCTCTACGTGTTTAGTACGTTCATGAGAAACAGGATTAGAGGCAATCTTGATGGCACTGACAGTATCTATGTGGATGGGAATGGGAGTTGGGAGCTACATATGAAGATCACCAAGAAGAGCTCTGAGCCACATAATTTCACTACAGAATGATGACATGGCTTGATACGCAACCTTAGTGGAGGATTTGGATTTCTTGCATTTCTAGGAGATGAGGGAATCACTTATAAAAACACACCAGCCAATAGTAGATCTTCTAGTGTCAAGACATCCAGCCCAATCTGCATCAACATAGGCTGATACATGTAGAGATGATGATGATGAGAAAAGAAGTCCATGAGAGATAGTACCCCTAATGTACCGAATGATTCAGAGAACTGCAGCCATAAGGGAAGAAACAAATTGACTGACAACTTGAACAACATAAGAGATATCCAGCCTTGTCATGGTGAGGTAGATGAGACTACCAACAAGTTGTCGATATAATGTAGCATCTGGAAGAAGTTCACCATCATCCTTAGATAGTTTGAGGTTCACCTAAAGAGGAGTATCCACCTGCTTATCATTGGTGAGGCAAGCAAGATTAACCAAGTTCATAGCATACTTTTGCTTATTTAGAAAGTACCCTTAAGAAGAGTAAGCCACTTCCAATCCAAGAAGCAAGTCAAATGACCAAGATCTTTCATCTTGAAAGAGTGAGAAATACTGTTATAATCATCACTGGTAGTAAGTATATCATCAACATAAAGAAGAAGGGTGATTCCTTGGGCCCACTTCAAAATGAAGAGAAAATAGTCAGAAGGACTTTGTAGAAATCCAACATCAATAATGACAGAAATCGTAAAGAGATTTCTTGAGGCGACAGACCATAGTTGGATCACAACAATATCCTGGAGGAGGCTTCATAAACACTGTTTCTTTGAGATGACCATGAAGGAAAGCATTCTTGACATCCATTTGATGGATGTCCCATTGCTTAATTGCTGAAATAGCCAACACCAATCGAACTGTAGTCATCTTTGCAACTGGAGGAAAGGTTTCCTCATAATCAATCCCATATTCTTGTTTATATCCTTGAGCAACTAAGCGAGCTTTATATCTATCAAGACTACCATCTGATTTCAGTTTGACAGAATATACCCATCTACTCCCAATGATTGAAGCATCTGAGGGTGCAGGAGCAAGATCTCAATTATCATTTTCTGCCATAGCTGGTCCATTTGGGAAGAAAGGAATGCAAGACTTTTTCAGGTAAGGAAAAGACTAGTGAACAAAGCAATCATGGTGAGAGTGTTATATTGGGTAGAATCTTTGGAGATGTTTGATGCTTGTTCAACTAGTGATCTCTTGAATAATTGGAAGTGGACAATTCAGAGTACCATAAGTTCACTACAACCCTATTTGGTCTCCACCGCTGAATGGCTATGTAAAATTAAACTTTGGTGGAAGCAATGCAGGTAATCTAGGCCCCTCTGGTATTGGAGGGGTTTTTAGAGACTGGGAGGGCAGAATTGTTGGTCTATTCTCGGGTCCAATTGGTGTAGGTGATTCTTTAAGGGCCGAGGTGTTGGCTGTTGTGGAGGGGCTGCAAAAGGGAAAGGACACGAATATAAGGAAGCTGATTATAGAAGGTGACTCCAAGCTGGTACTAGAGTGGCTGTAGAAGGAAGGACAAGGGTTTTGGATCTTTAATAATGAAAAGAAAAAGCTTAAGTGGTTGACACAATATTGAAGTGAAATTTAATTGGGTAAAAAGAACTACAAATGGGATTGCTGATGTACTAGAAAAGCAAGGGGTGGAAAGGAGTCATTTGTTTTGGGCTCAATTGTAATAGCTAAGTTCTGTTATGGAGAGTTAAGAAAGTTTACCTCTCCTATTTTGTAATTGTTCTATATTAATTTTAATGAAATTCTGTTATTGATAAAAAAAGAGGAACTGCCATAGCTTGCTGATGAGTCTTTAGAATATCTGTAGATGGCAAGACAGTAGAAAAGGAGCTATGGTTGGTAGAAAAACCATAGCGGTTAGGTCTAGAAACACGAGAAGAACGATAGAGAGGTGGAGGGTATGAAATTGTCATAGGAGAAGGTTTTAGAGTATTACTTATAGTATCAAGGGGAGGAGATGAGCCATGAGCTGGTGGAGAAGGGGGCAAGGGAGCAGGTTCTGAAGCAACTATTCACTTCCGTACATACTGGCGAAGAGAATCCAAGAAGGAAGGAGTGGAGTTCATAGTACTTGTGGATTCAAAAGAGTGCAAAACAAAAATAGGAGCAGACAACTTGACAACGTGAGTAAAGAAAGAAACATTCTCAAAGAATACATCATTTATGGAAATTTGGATCCTCTGTGCTTGAGGGTCATAACAAAGAAACCCCTTATGATCCAAGCTATAACCCTTGAAGGAACATAGAGCCAATTGATGTATGAGCTCTGTGCGTTCATGGGGGGGGGAGGGGGAAGATGAACAAAGCAAGCACAACCAAAAATATGAAGCAGAGAGAAGTTTGGAGGCCGATGAAGTAAGCATTGGAAGGGAGAAACATCATGAAAAACAAAAGAGGGAAATTGATTAATGAGGTATACAACTGTGTTGGCTGCCTTTGCCCAAAAGGAAGTAGCTACATGGAAGTCTTGCAACAAGGTTCTTACCACACTCAATTAGGGGTGGCCACAAGCCGAGCTCTTCACGAGCTACTCGGCTTGGCTCAGCTCGGTTGAATAAAGCTTGGCTTGTGATGCTCGCGAGTTGGCTCAAATAGCTACATTAATAATAATAATAATAATATAAAATTGTAGAAAATAATATATATATATATATATTAAAGATATTATGTATATAATATGTTTATTTATATATATAATAATAACTAATTATTAAAAATATTACGATCTTTTGACTTGAGTCGAGCTCGAGCTCGAGCTCGAGCCTTGTACTACCTTGGCAAGCCGAGCTCGAATAGCTATTCGGCTTGACTCGGCTCGACTCCACCCCTACACTCAATATGTGTCCATTCTTCCGCTCTGCCACCCCATTTTGTTGTGGGGTCCCAATACAAGATCTTTGTGATTGAATTCCCTGTTACCTCAAATAGGTTTGAGAATCTCCATCAAGGTATTCCCCCCTGAGTCTGATAAAAAAACACCAATAGTAGCATCAAGTTGGTTTTTAACAAGAGCATGAAACAATTTGAAGGTAAAGAAAACTTTTGACTTTTGCCTCAAAAAATATATCCATGTATATCGTTGTAATCATCCACAATATAACAAGTATTGGTACCCCAACCTTGAGGGTATG